AGTGCTACTATTCTCCATTGGTGTCATATTGGTGCAATGCTACTTTCTGAACACTGTGATACGATCTGGCTTTCAATGTGATTGTGCAATCTGAATATTGTCATCTCGCTTCTGTTCATTTTCCTTGCAATTTGGTATCGGAGCTGGTTCGAACTGCGCTCATTGGTTCTTCGCATTAGCTGTTCGGTGCTTTGCATGAGGTGTGGGGTAGTGATAAGGCTTGGGCCATTGAACAAAAGGCAGCCCAGGGTCGTGTGGGCGCGCCAGGAAGCTATGTGGTGACATTAGGGGTGTATGCTGGATAATGAGAGCTCGTTGATGTGGCATTGAAGCCGAGGTGGAACTGCATTCTGCTGTTAAATGCACATCAGGTTGCCGGTCAGAACTATGTGGTTGGGGGCAGCATAATGAGGTACGTTGCTTCCTTCCTTATCTACCTTCTTCATTGCTTCTTACCATGAGGAAGTGAGTTATGTCTTGAGAGTCCTCTCAATGTGAGGTGTCGCAAGCGCTCAGCCTTGAGAGTCGACATTCTTCCTGGGCAGCAAGCTGGTGGGAGATGCGCGATGCCTCTGAAGGGCCCTGGACGAAGCACTCGGGTCACGGTCACCATGCCAACCCGCTGGGACTAGTACACATGCTTTGCCGCAAGTCCTTGGTTCTGCTACTGCGCAATAGAGGTCATGCAGGGCATGCCAGCCCTTTGAACAGGCGCTTACCAGACTGTCTTTAAATATTTCTGGCGGGGACTCGGTGTTGATTTTGGTTGTGATCGTCGTCCTGTCTGCGACATTAAATAATTCATGAGGAGTTACGGGGGATCTCCTTAAATGCCTCCTGATCAGCCAGATCAAACCGGGTGTAAGGCTCGTTGCATTCGAGGATAAATAATATGCAGGGGCTGGCAGGTTCGGCATTGACTTGGGGCACAGGGGTGGGCCAGATTGCACTCCCTTAGACACGCTGCTCAACCAGATGCTCAGGGTGTTGACACAAAGTGACAACTCAAGAAGAATACAGGGAGAGAGGGGGATTCCGGTAACTGTTCGCAGTGGCAATAATTAGATAAACTGCCATCCAACATACATTTCTGCAGGGAGCATTATTTTTATTTTTTTATTATTTAGTTGTTACGGACTTGACTAACAACTGACAGACAGCTGCAGATAGAGTAGAATATTCCTTGCTGCATCGCAATTTGTATTAGAGTAATCTAAAAATAGATTTAATATTCCCTATAGGATCTGACATTGGTTGACACCTAACCACCTAACTGTTTTTGTCCAGGCCGACCGAAGTTAGTTGTGTATCATAATCCGTTGTGTGTCATGCTGAGGTAGGATTCAATGTGGATTCTAGTTTAGATCACACACATTGTAGCTCATGAGTGATGCAAGCACTAGTGAGGAGGAGTTGTTAGTGGACGACCGTAGGACTACTCGTAGAACTTCTCTCAGTCGACCTTTGACTTTCCTAGAGTTAGGTCCAGGAGACGAGAGGAGACTGCGGAGAGAGGCTAGAGAGAGAGATTGTGGCAAGAAGAGCGAGGGTGGCTGAGGCCAGTGCTAGGTCTAGGATTACAGCTAGCACCTGTACGACCATGGCTACTTCCTCTACCATGTCACAGGCCACTTCGTCAGGAGTCAGTCAGAGTGGTTCTCGGGCTTCCATTAGTCAGAGTGTTGGCTTGCAAGTCAGCCAGCAGGCTCAACTCACGCCGGAGGATTATGAGATCCTCCAAGCTGAAGAACTTCAGGATGAGTTGCAACGGCAATTGGATGAAGCAGCAGAGAGAAGAAGAAGAGCAATAATTAGAAAAGCTAGACTAGGTAGTAGATTGCAGGAACTAGGCAAGCTGGAAGCACTAGATGAGTCCACATTAGATCCCGCTATGCAAGCTCTGCGGCATTCGCTCCTGTGTGTGGCGGAGACCCAGGTTATTCAGCAGGAAGTGTTGGCTGAACTATTGGCAGGCCAGAAATGAATTCTGGTTGCATTATAGGCTCCTCGTCCAGTGATGAGGCAGCCTCAGTTTGTTATGGTTCCCCCTTCGGTTGCGGGTCCATTAGTGACACCGTCGCCGGTAGGGCCTTCATTCTCACCTATGTTTGGCATGCTCCCTCCAGGTGGTTATGTGGCGACTAGTGATGCGGTCCTTAGAGTCTCAGTCGTACCATCAACGACAGTGGTTATTACAGTCCCACTGTCAACCCAGGCCTAGGTTAGTGAGCAGCAACCTGTTTCGGTGGCTATGCAGCCACTGCAGCAATCTCCTGGGCCAATGCAGCCTATGCAGTGGATACCCAAAATACCTTTGCCGAGTCCTAAGCCCTTCTTTGGTGACAGGAAGAAGGATGAGGACTTGGATACCTGGGTGAGGACGGTGCCCACCTATCTGAGGCACAAACTTACCAGGCCGGAGCAAGAAGTTGTAGTAGCTGCCTCCTTTCAAGAGGGGTCAGCAACTCGCTGGTTGAATGGCCTAGTGCAGCAACAGGGCTATTGTCAGAACTTCGATGCCTGGGCCCAGGCCCAGACATTGGAAGAGTTCGTACGGTCCGTGTACAATAGGTGGCATGACCCTCAAGGGGCCCAAAAGGCCACAAATGCGATCAACAGTCTTTGTGCCAGAAGGTACAAGAATGTTAGAGAGCTCACGGATACCGTAGAACGTCTGCTTGTGGTACCTGGTGTGCGCTATGACCAGCAGGTACTCCTCACGGATTACCTTAGATGTATGCCTTCAGAGGTCAGGACAAAGCTGGTTGATGAGGCGTATGTAGAGCAGCACAACTTCGCCTCTTTCAGCAAGAAGGCCTTAGATCTAGAGGCAAAACTGGGGTCCGCGCATCAGAGTCAGGGAGATGGTAGGAAAAAGAGACTACCCCAGGACTGGAAGAAGAAAGGTCAACTAATGTTCGTCGACCACGATGGTCAGGCGACAGAAATTGACGACTTCCCATACCTTGGGGAGGAGACAGAGCACAATGGGGCCAGCGAGACTTCCGATGGGGGAGTCATGACACCCATCAAAGAAAAGGTTAGGGGGACCGGGAAGAAGAAGGTAGGCCGTTCTACGGGTCAGGGCGACCAAGGAACGCCCGCATGGGTGAAACTTGGTTCAGAGTATGAGGTGTGGAGGGACCGAGTTGCTAGGGGCACGTGCATGAACTGTGGCAACTATGGCCACACATCCCGGACGTGCCGAGGCAAGAAAGTCCTAACGAGGGTAACCTCTCCAATGGTGGTGGGACTATCTTCGAACCCTGGCAGTGCTTCTGCGAACACTTCGCAGGGAAACACCTAAGGCCAGTAGGAGTTTTAGCCGCTCTTACTCGCGCTGAAGTGGTAACGTTGCCTTCCCCACTTCAGGTGTTGGCCAGGGCTAGTGACCCACGTATAGCCCCGCACACACATTCAGACCCGCCGATGCTCTGTTCGAGAGATGTGTCTGAGGCCCTAGAAGAGTTAGAGACTGAGTGGTCAGGAAAGGACTCCAGAGACTCTTGGGCGATGATCAGTAGAGGTCCAAAGGGTGAACATTTTGTGGTAGAGGTTGATGTAGGTGGCCGCAAAGTTGGCGCCTTCGCAGACATAGGCTCTACACGAAACTTCATCAATCGTGCTTGTGTGGATAGACTGCGCTTAGGGGACCAAGTGCAGCGGCTTAGCAGACAAGCACCAAATGATTGTTAAAGACTATGTCAAGGACGTAGTCTGTTCCTTCTCTTATGGAGGAGGGGAAGTGAGACATAAAATCTCATTCCTCGTGAGCGACGAACTACCCTTCGATATGCTACTAGGCATGTACTACCTCGAGGTCGCACAACCTTAGTTTGATTGGGATAGGCAGGTGTTGGTACACAAGTTGCCAAATGGTAGGACCGTTAGACTGCAGAAGTATAAGGCTAGCAGTCTAGTGGAAAACTACGGCTGCATGTGTGCTCTTCTTTCTATAACTACTACAAGTAGAATCGCGAGGAGGGCATGAATCTAATCTTTGTCTCTGAAAAAGGGGAAGCCGTAAGAACACCCCCAGAGATAGAATCAGTCGTCGCTCAATATTCAAACCTTTTTTAGGAGCCCTCAGGCGTGGTAGAAAAGGAGGCGGTCCATGCAATAGAGGTCCCGGGTAATAAGGTACCTAGAGGACGAACATATAGGATGTCTCCTGTGAAGTTGGATAAGCTCCGCCGCCAGCTCAAGGAGCTCACAGAAAAGGGATGGATTCGGCATAGTACCTCCCCTTACGGCGCGCCAGTCTTGTTTGTCCCAACGAAGGGAGGTACCCTGAGGATGTGCATTGACTATAGGGGCCTTAATGTCATCACCGTTAAGAACGCGGAGCCCCTACCCCGCATCAACAACATCTTGGATAGAGTGCAGGGATGCCGATACTTCACCAAGATAAATTTGAAGTTCAGATACCATCAAATTGCCATTAGACCAGAGGACCAGCACAAAACCGCATTTCAGACCAGGTACGGTCTGTACGAGTTTGTGTTGATGCCCTTTGGCCCTATGCAATGCACCTGGTACATTCCAACACGAGATGAACAGGATATTTCATGATTACTTAGACAAGTTTATCGTCGTGTACCTCGCCGATATTCTTATCTTTAGTGGGACTGTAGAGGAGCACGTTGAGCACTTGAAAATAGTGTTAGGTCTCCTAAGACAGCACCAGTATAAGGTTAACTTGGAGAAATGCGAGTTCGATCGCACCAAGATCTTGTACTTGGGTCATGAAATCTCAGCGGATGGATTGAGGTCGGATGATGCTAAGGTGGCCATCATACGTGACTGGCCCAGACCTCAGACTGTTACTGAGGTCAGATCGTTTTTGGGGATGACGGGCTACTATCGTCCGTTTGTAAAGAACTATAGTACTATACTTTCCCCATTAACAGATCTAACTCGACTGGATACCCCTTGGGAGTGGACTGAAGAGTGTGAGGCGGCCTTCAGGAAACTGAAGTATGCCCTAACACACTACGAGGTTCTTAAACTTCCGGATCCTGATAAGTCATTTGTAGTGACCACAGACGCCAGCCAATATGGCATACGCGCGGTCCTTGCGCAAAAGGAGGGGCCCAAGTTGAGACCTATCGAGTACATGAGTAAAAAGATGCCATCTCAGAAACTAGCCAGGTCTACCTACGAGTGTGAGCTCTATGCCCTTTACCGAGCGCTGGTCCATTGGAGGCACTACCTCCTTAGCAGATTTTTCTATGTAAGATCTGACTATGAGACCCTGCGCTGGATCAAGACGCAACCAGTATTCTCAGATGCACTCAAGAGATGGATACAAGTAATAGACATATATGACTATCAACTTGATCCTATCAAAGGAGAGTACAACAAGGTGGCGGATGCGCACTATCTCGACGGGCAAATTACCTGAGCGCGCTAGTGACTGAATTCGGTATATCTAACGATTTAACTCGATCGCTGGTGGAAGCCTATCAGCAAGACTCAGTTATGTCTGAGATCATCCATAAATTCAAAGAGAAGGATAAAGTAACTTCTGGCGAATTTGCGATGGTTGATGGCTTGTTGTTTCTTGAAAAGGCAGGGAATAAAAAACTGTGTGTTCCTAATAGTGAGTCTTTGCATAGTTTATTTTTAGGGAACTGTCATGATGCAACTGGACATTTTGGCTATAAAAAGACATCAGCTAACCTAGTACAAAAGTTTCGGTGGCCTTCTATGATGGAAGATGCCAAAAAATATGTGAAAACCTGTCAGGTTTGTCAATGTGACAAACCTAGAACTCAGGCTCCGCTTGGACTCATCAAGCCCTTGCCGATTCTTGAAGGTCCTGGTCAGAGCGTCTCCATGGACTTCATGGATACTCTTGTGACCAGCAGGTTTGGAAAAAGGCACATCTTCGTTATAGTAGACCGTTTTTCCAAAAATGCCAGACTAATCGCTATGCCAGAGACTGCTAAAACTGACTATGTCATCAGACTATTCATGGACAATTGGGTTCGAGACTTTGGTTTACCTAAGTCTATCGTCAGTGATCGGGATGTACGTTTCACAAGCGAACTGTGGCAAAACACAGCCCAACAGATGGGCACCAAACTGCAGATGCCATCAGGGAACCACCCTGAGTCAAATGGACAAGCGGAAGAAATGAATCGAGTAGTGCAGCAATTACAGAGGCACTATATTAAGCCAAGTCAGGATGACTGGGACGAGAAACTGCCTCTCATCGCCAGCCTGTACAACAATGTTGTACACAGCATGACTGGCATGACCCCCAACCAACTGCATCTTGGTTGGAAGCCTAGAACCGCCTTAGATTTTCTGTTACCTGAGAGTCAACCATCTGCAGCACCAGGCAGCATAGACTTTGTTGTAAAGTACGATCAGATGCTGCAACAGGTTGTAGAGCATATTAGAAAAGCTCAAGATGCCATGGTGGCATCTGAGAATAAGCACAGACGACCGTCTCAATTTCAGGTAGCAGAACGAGTTTGGGGTAAATCATCTGAGTTGGGATAAGAACTGGGAATTTCTAGAAAGCTAATGCCACAGTACTTCGGTCCTTGGGAGGTCTTAGACATAGTGGGAGATCAAATGGACGGACCTTCCTATGTGATTCGTATCCCCCCACATCTACGTACACACCCTGTATTTCATGCCTCAAAGCTGGCACCTTTCGCAGTATCTACACGGTTCCCTTCTAGACGGTCAATGCTGCCCCCAACCATGGATGGTGAAGTGTACGTCGACCAGATTGTGGAGCATTGTGTGATGCTTGTTCCTCGACCACCGGGCAGAGGTCGCCCTCCTAAGCCAAAAATGCAGTACCGGGTCAGATTCAGACATCATCTGGATCCTAGCGAAGATCGGTGGTTCACCAGAGAAGAACTCATGAGAACTGCACCTCAAGTCATTGCAGGCGACGAAAGGGATCTCAAAGGAAAAATGCCTGCAGAATAGAAGACTTCTCAGGGGACTATGAAAGTACAGGAGGAGGGAATGTGAGGATTCGGACCCTCGGCAGGTCTAAGGGGGCCCCTGTTGCATCTGTGCCCGCCCTAAGTGAAGGCGGGCCTAACGAATGAAGAGAGGCCCTCGGCTGTCAATTTCATATTTGGGGTCCAGGCAGTTTCATCGCGCCAGTTGATTGAGAAAAACACAGGCCAAGCAGCGAGACCTTCCAGGCCTTTCCAAAATGATGCAGGCCCTGGACGAGAATCGCAGCCTCATACACAGACTGTTGGGAGGCCCAACCGAACGAGGCCCAGTAGCTGCAAGAGAGGTGCAGCATCCTGGGGCCTACTGGAAGCTTCTGGGCCCAGGCCAGTCCAGCCAGGCTGCCGAATGAGGCAGGCTCTTTCCATATAGGAAAGAGCTCGCTCCCTGGCAAGGCCTTCGGGCACTCGCATGCTGGCGGCAGCGCTGCTGCAGCTGAAGCTCATGGGCTGCTGCTGGCGCTGAGAGGAGAGGTGCTAGCACGTGCGGTCGTGCAGGGAGCAGGGCGCTGCTGAGGGCAGCGCCATAGCCCAGCCTCCATAGCTGGCGGGCT